GCAGTTGGGGACGGTCCAAGCCTTGGGACCCTGCACCTACTTGGGAGACCTGGAGGAGGTTCCAGGCTCCTGGCTTTGGATTGGCTCACTCCGGCAGTTGTGGCCATTTGGGGAGTGAATCAATGGACAGAAGATCTTCCTCTTTGTCTCTCCTCTCTGTATACCTGATTTTACAATAAAAATAAATAAATCTTGAAAAAATTACATCTTGTGGAGAGAATCAAGATGGGGGAATAGGGTAAGGACACGTTTAAACAGATGGAGAAATGTTAGCCAGTGTGAAGCAGAGAGAGCACATTCCAGGAGATAGGAGAGGACAGAACAACAGCAGAGGGGCACCTACAGACTGACAGACACAGGAAAGCAGCGGCCACAATGGTGTGGTGTTGTAGCAACTGATACCCCAGCAGCATTCAACGAATGGCGATCTGAACTCCACCAGCAGCCAGAACTCCACCGGCAACTAGGTTCCATCCAAGACAGGTCTGGGTAGCTCTCAGACCTGACAACGAGCAGATCAAGAACTGTAGTAGTGGTGCAATAGATGCCATTTCTTACAGTGTGGCGAGACTGCAGGGGACAACAGTGATTTGCACATGCACTGAGCTCGGCGAGAACTCACTGAGCTCAGTGGATCGCACTGGTCCCACAGGAAAATAATACCGACTGTGGCATCCTATGGGTCAAAATAGGTCTGTGTGGCCCTCAGCTCTAATGGTCAAAAGGTTCTGGCAAGATCAATACCACCAACAACCCAGCTATATAGGACACCTGGTGTCTCTCTAATCGTGGGAACTGCTCCAACCGGAAGTGGGGGAAAGGTTGTACAGACAATGGTGCAGCCTCAGCAAGGTATCACAGGAGGTGGAGACTGGTGAGCCAGGAGCTGGGGATGAGACCAAGGCAGAAATCTAACATAAGAATCCAGACCTGGAACTCATGGAGGGAGTGGTACAAGTGACTGCAAACAAACAGCCGTGTACCAACTGCAGTAAGTAAAATCGAACTGTAGACTAGTGGGTGACAGAGCTTAGAAACCTGCCCCAAATAGAAGAATCTGCTGGTTAGAAGCACAATGACCAAGATCAAAAGAGAGACAGAGGCACAGTGAATATTGCTGAAGACGCTTCTACAAAGGAGCAAAACCCTATGCCAACCTCAGAGTTAACATAGGAAGACATCAAGAAAATGGGGGATACAGAATTTAAAACACTTGTTATAATACTTCTTTTTTTTTTTTAAGGATTTATTTATTTATTGGAAAGTCAGATATACAGAGAGGAGGAGAGACAGAGAGGAAGATCTTCCGTCCAATGATTCACTCCCCAAGTGAGCGCAACGGCCAATGCTATGCCGATCCAAAGCCAGGAGCCAGGAGCCTCTTCCGGGTATCCCGCACAGGTGCAGGGTCCCAAAGCTTTGGGCCGTCCTCGACTGCTTTCCCAGGCCACAAGCAGGGAGCTGAATGGGAAGTGGAGCTGCCGGGACTAGAACAGGCGCCCATATGGGATCCTGGGCGTATTCAAGGCGAGGACTTAAGCCACTAGGCCACGCCCCTGGGTCTCTATAAGACTTCTTATCAACAAGGAGAAGCATGTAAAGCAGGCATTCAAGGAATTCAAGCAATATGCCACTCTGGAAATTAATCGGATGAAAGCTGATATATCAGAAATGAAGAATACAGTGGAGCAAACTAAAAGTACACTGGAGTGTCTCCAAAACAGAATGAAGGAGGCAGAAAAAAGAATCTCAGAATTGGAAGATATTTCCTGTCACCAGAGGGAAGCAAACAAAAAGCTGAAAGCAGAGCTGGATAAGGCCAAAAAAAAAGTATTCAAGAATTGAGAGACACTATAAAAAGGCCAAATATAAGAGTTATGGGAGTCACATAAGGTGCACAAACAGAAGCTGGGTTTACCAGTGTGTTTAATGAGGGAAAATTTCCCTAATCTGGAGAAAGAATTGGGAAACAATTTCCAGGAGGGGCACAGAACTCCCAACAGCATTGAGCAAAGGCAGTCTTCACCAAGACACATAATAATCAAGCTCTCTTCAACTGAATGTAAGGAAAAGATTCTTAAATGTGCATGTGAATAAAAATCAACTGACATGTAAAGGATTGGCAATTAAACTCATAGGAGACTTCTCACAGAAACTCTATAGTCAAGAAGGGAATGGAGTGACGTATTCTCAATTCTAAAAGAAAAAAATTGTCGGCCCAGGATAATGTACCCAGCAAGACTTTCCTTTGTCTTTGAAAATGAAATAAAATTTTTCCACAGTAAAGAAAAGTTGAAAGAATATGCCTCTTCCAAACCTGCCCTATAAACGATACTTCAAGATATTCTCTTGAGAGTTGAGGAATAGCACCCAACAAACCAAAGGCAAATCTGAAGAACATCCCTTTAAAATAACAGAAGACTAAATTCAATGAACAACCCATTGATAAAATGACACCCATTCATATTAACCCTAAATGTAAATGGCTTAAACTCATCCATCAAACATCACAGATTAGTAGACTGGATTAAAAAGCAAAACCTATCTATTTTTTGCCTACAGGAGACACATTTCACCAACAAAGAACTTCAGAAAATGTATCTCACGGTTTTTAATTTTTTTTGTTAGTTTCATCTCTTCAAAACACTTTCTTCTGATTAAATTCTTCAGTAATTTATAGATCATACAGTAGCATCATTTTCTTCAAGAAGGTTCTTGATTTTCATTTCTTCAGCGACACATTAGTCATTCAGTAGCATGTTATTTAACTTCGTGGTGTCACTAATTTCTTTGTTTTTCTTCTTGTTTTGTGGCTTTTTATTTAAGGGGATATATAGTAACTGTGTAATGGAGACTATCATATCTAGTAGCATGTAACTTAACTTCATATAAATTTCTTTTTTTCTTCCTGTTGTTTTGTATTGTGGTTTTTGATTAAGGGGATATATAGTAGCTCTGTCATTGAGACTGTCATATCCAGATGTAAGGATACAGTGCAGTATGCATCTCTACTTCCAGACAAAGCTGGGCTCCCAATGAAACTGTTTAATATATCTTGACAATAGGATGCTGGACTCTGTCATTGTCCATGCCCATAAGATTGGATATATGACTGTGTGTGAAGAACTATATTATCATGATGATATAGGGGAACTCAATGAGAGGGGAGGGAATTGGGGAGGGAATAAGGGAAATCCCGGGGCCTATGGAACTGTATTCATAAAATGATAATGATAAAAATAAATAAAATTTAAGAGTAAAAAAAAAATTACAGCTTGCCTCTGCAGCTGTTGTTTAAACTAAGAACAAACAAACAAACAAACAAAAAACCTACCAGTAAATTCTTTGCATTAGTTTTAGTGAATTTGTAACAGTTTTTGGTATTTGAGTTTCTGAATTCCCTGGGGCTGAAGAAAGAGTAATCATAGCATAGAGGAAATGAGTAACATTGTAGCATCCCACTTTTGTATGTGCAAGCAAAATGTAGACCTGGGTTCTGAACCTAATGTAGAAATTAGAAGAATCTATAGTCTAGGAAGAAGGATCCCATGTGGGCACTTGTTCTAATCCCAGCAGCCCTGCTTCCCATCCAGCTCTCTGCTTGTGGCCTGGGAAAGCAGTTGAGAATGGCCCAAAGCCTTGGGACCTGGAAGAAGTTCCTGGCTCCTGGCTTCGGATTGGCTCAGCTCTGGCCATTGTGGTCACTTGGGGAGTGAATCATCGGACAGAAAATCTTCCTCTTTGTCTCTCCTCCTGTCTGTTTGTCTGACATTTCAATAAAATAAATAGCTCTTAAAAAAACGAGGGGACTTAAAAAATTCAAGAAAAATGTAATTAGAAGTTGAATTTGAATAAAACATGTGAAATTTGTGTGTAGTTTTCTGTAGCAGGTATTTTTTTTTCCTCATAAGATTGTAAGGTATCTGTGTACTTGCTGGAAGGCTGGGATTCTACAGACTGCTTTATTTTCCAATAATCATTGAACCATTATCTGAAGGTGCTGGAAGAAAAGCTGGTTGTAAGGGCTTTTCAATGGGAACATTTTTTCCTGCCTTTGTGCAGTGTGATGAATTGGGATAGCCTGGTGAAACGTGGGTGGTGATGCCGGGTTGCTGCAGGGAAATGGGACGGTGCAGGTGTTATGAAGCCAAGTTTCACCCCTGGCAGAGACTGTGGGTCTTCGAGGTTGCTGGTCCTCCTCCCCTCCCTCACGGGCACAGGGCCCTGAGCAGGAGGAATCAGGGGGACTGCTGTGTGGAACTGTGCTCTCACCCGCTCGGAGCAGTCATCTAAAACGAAGCCTGAGATGGCAAGCTCTTCCTGGTACATCGCTTCTCCTACTGGGAGGGAAAGTAGACGACAGTGTCTTGCTTCACCTGTCAAGACAAACACTGTGAAAAACTGAGATGAAAATGTTTGGGGAGTCAGGGAGACTTTGTCCTAAGCAAATGTACATTGCTGTTGTGACCTGTAACTCGGGATTTAGTTCTTGAAGCAGCAGTCACTCCTCAAATGGACAGGCATAATGACTCCCTCATTGTGCAGTGGTACCCCACTGAAACCTGTTGTGAGAACCGCCTAGTTGTTGGAAAGGCAGGGAGGGATCTTGGTATCCCAGTAAGTACACTGATGCTGGTTTAGGCACACCGTTAAATTCCATTTGTCTTTACCTAAAGTGTTTGCTGTTATTTTAGGTAATCCAGGCCTTTCCTGCAAGGGAAGCAAGCATAAAGAAAAATCCACAGAAAGTTGACAAGTGTTTATTTTAGCCTTTAGTTTTAAAGACCTTTACAGCTAGTTCTATTCAAGCTGTCTGTGAGAATCAAAATCAACTTACACCTGCTTTTCCTATCCCTCGTTTTGCCCTGTTCCTCCGTGTGAACTGTTTTAAAATAGTAATAAGGTGGTAGAGGGGAGGTTGAATTGAAGCTGCTATTGAAAGCCGACAAGTTAGTGGATAGGAGTACTACATTCACATGTTGTTTCTTCCCCCATTTTAGGATATTCCTGCAAGCTGGTGTCGCAGAATATGGCTCTGATCCTACTAAAGGAGGATTCTTTGGATGTAAGTAGTCTTTCAGAGCTTCCATTTGGTATAATCGCTGATGTGTTTTGGTAACAAGGTCTTATGCTTACTATAAAACAATCGTACAACAATTCCACGTTTGCTGTTTGTAATTTTGAATGGATTTTATAAAACCTTATCTTTAAATATCAAAATAGTCAGCTTAGAATGTTGTCTCATGGTAAGACTTTGTCTTTGCCTGTATCTGTGCGTTGATAATTGAGTTAGTTTTAATCTGATTGAGCTTCTGTCATTAACTATGAGGTATTAATGGCACCTCTTACGATTTACCTTAAGTGATGATAGTTAACTCTAGTAAAGATGGTAAGAGAGATCTGTAGGATTTTCTTGCTAAACATAGCTCCCATGAGTTAGAAGTTGTTTACATTTCCATAGAAGTAGAATACACATATGCACGCAATTCCTCAACCTCCCAAAGCCAGCAGCTCACGGAGAACTGAATACTGTGGTTCCATTAGTATTTTATGGACATATGCCCACCCCATCACAGCTGAAAGGCTCTGAGGAAACCAGGTTTTGGAGCTGGCTCTTGGGTAGCCTATGACCTGCGAAGCGGTTTTATTTGAAAAGAGGAGCTAGACAATGGGAGTCCATTGCTGAGACCCTATAACGAGGACCTGGGTAAGCAAGACACCTACAGGCAGTAAGATAGTTACATGCCAGTCCTGGGAACGGGCGGTAGGACTTGTGACACTTTCAAAGGAAGAAGAGGTCTCTGTACTTGCAAGTCTAGGAGGCCATGGTTCCTACTGTTTGGACAACAGCATTCTCTAGCTGCCTCACAACTTCCAGGTCAAGACTCAGAGAGCCTACAGTTCATGTCAAGATACTACTGGCAGGATAGCCCTCTCTGGAATGAATGCTTGAGCAATCATTTCATCATAATTCTTGCCTTTGCTTGCATGTCACTTGCAAGAAGCTCTGAAACTCAGGTGCTGCTCATCTGAGGGGCTCTGACTCTCACCTGTTTTGTGGTACTGTGGAAAGCTCCCTTGTATCCTGTTCCATTCTCCCAAACATCCCCATTGAACCTGTCTTTAATTTTCTTTATGAAGCTCTGATGCGTTGGAAACTGCATGTGAGTATGTGAGCTGTGGCAAAATAAACCTTAACAAATTTGAAGTGTACGGTTCCCTGAATTGTCATGTAACCATCGCCACCATCTGTCCGTGGATCCTCTGTGCCCGTTAAGCACACCCCTAGTCTTTTGTATTGCGGCCCTTGTCAGTTGCTGCTCTACTTTGTGCCTATGAATTTGATGACTTTAGGGAGCTCCTCTAAGCAGAATCTTCTAGTATTGTGATGTTCATGACAGGTTTATTTCACTTAGCAGGTCCTAAAGGCCCATCCGTGCTGCAGCATATGCCAGAATTTTCCCCTTTGTTAAAATTAATATCCCCTGTGTACCTGTGCACGTTTTGTTGGTCCATGTGCCTGTTGATGGACACTTGGATGACTTCCAACTTTTGCCTATTGTGAATAAAACTGCTATGAATATGGCTGTGTAAATATCTTTTAGAGATCCTGGGTAGATGAGGCTACTTGAAAATTTGTGGAAAGCAGAGTTAGAAGTTGTTGATTTTGGTGCAAAAGTGTTTGCATAGTGCTTTTTTGGGGGGGGCATAAGTATGCTCTTTCTGTGAGCTTTTTGAAGTCCCCCTTCTGCTATTATAAGCATGGATTGCAAATATTTTTTGCAGGAAAGTAAACCTAGTTTTAAGTTCCAGTTTCCATAGACTTTCTAAAGTAGCCTCCTTTTTCCAGACGTGGCATTGCTGAATCATATGGTAACTTCCTGTTTCAATTTTTGAGGAACTGCTGCTTTTCTTTGAAAGCTGTACCATTTTGTGTTCCCACCAACAATGGACATGACTTCTACTCTTTCCATGTTTTTGTCAATTTTTTTTTAAATTTTTGAATTTTTTTTCAAAGATTTATTTTTATTGGAAAGGCAGATATACAGAGAGGTTGGCCACGGTGACATCTCCTTGAGGTTTTGATTTGCGTTTCCCCAATGATTAGTGATACTGTGTTTTTGAATGAGTGACCAAGCGTAAGCTCATTCTGTAGTCTTTAATCAGAATTTCTTTTTGTAAGTCACACAGAAAAGAGTGATGGAGGCAGCCACGATGTGCCAAGTGTGAACTGATAATCCTAGGGGAGTAGATGAGTCAGGCATAGCATCGCATCAGAGGACAGGGATGGAGAGCCGCTACCGAAATTCTTAGAAACCCTGGACAGGCCCAGGACAGCTTGTGAGCACATCAAGAGGGTCTGTTTGCTGGTGGTTTCGCAGCTTCATCCATACCCTTATTAAACAGATGGTTTCTGAGATTGGTATCTGGCAAAGCTGGTACTTGGGCTGTCCAGATGAGGAGAGTGGACTTGAGTCCTGGATCTGCTTCCAATTCAGCTTTCTGACCATGTGCCCCTCGAAGGCAGAAGGTGATGGTTTAAGCACTGGGTTCCTGCCAACAACATGGGAAGTGTGGATTAAGGTTCTGGCTCCTGGCTGCAGTCTGGCCCAGCACTGGCTGTTGCAGTCATTTGTAAGTGAACAAGTGAATGGAAGATCTGACTGTCTGCCTTTTAAATAAAAAAATAATTTTTAAAAATGTTAAGGTCCCTTTTCCTGGTGGTACCTTGGAAATGAGCCTCTACTTTCCCTTTGTGTCAGTGCTCTCTGGAATCAGGTGATGGGCTGTGATTCTATAAAAGAATTTTTGGGTGTGTGCCTGGCTTCCCTGGGTGTATCCTGTAAAGAGTGATCCTATCTTAATCCACTGGGAACTTATTTAGTCTGATGACTTCAGAGCGTTCAGTAACTCCAGACAAGAGGCCCACATTTTTCTTGTTTGACGAGCAACAGGAGGCTCCACATTTCTGACTACACCCTACGGGGAAATCCTCTCTTCACTTTTCTTCCTTCTTGCTTTTGAGTTGAATTAAAGGCATTTCTAGCCTATGTGAAGCATCATTTGGTGGGTATGCAATAAAAGCAGACACACTGGCTCTCCCTAGGACAATAGGTTAGAAGTGCCTTAGGTCCTAATGGAACTCCAGAGTTGAGCTTGTGTAGTCCCAGGGCACTGTTGAGGAAGCAGATGAAAAATTGACCCTGGAATTTGGAAGCATTGGGCCTGACTTCCCTTTCTCTCTCACCTAAGCAAGAGGGATTAAGGGGTTTCCCTCAAAGACAGAACTGACATCTGTCTCCTTCACTTGAGCACATGCCTCGGCTAAGATTCCAAGCACTCTGATGATTAGAACTCATCTCTGTGTTTTGAGTTATCCAGTTGATGTCAGAACAACACCTAGGATCTGTAATACAGACAGTCAATGTTTTGAGGCCAGGTGAGTGATGCTGTGCAGCCAGGGGCATTCTAGATGACAGGTGGAGTGCCAGGAGAAAGTAGTTGTGATTTTTTTTTCTAATTTTTGTTTTCTTCGCTTTCTAGAAAATACTGAGAAGTCAGCTTTATTGATAATCCATATGAATTGCCACTGGCAGTCCTATCTTTGTTCCTGGCCCACAGGCCAGCAATGAGTTTGGGAAGGGTGGGTGGAGGAGAGAGGCATAATTACTCATCAGAAAAGGTAAATTAAAACCACAGGAAGGTATACTGCACTCCCCCTAGAATGGTAACAGTTAAATTTTTGCCTGGTATGACCACATCCTGGTGAAGACTGGATTGTCGTAGAGCAGTGAGAACCCTGAGATACTATTAGTGGGAATGTAAAATGGAACACATTTCGGGCACATTAAAATTGTCTGTATGTGGCTGCCCTTCGAGGACCCTCACTCAGCGTGTTCCCATGTTCTCCCAACCCCGTTGCTGATATTGGAGCTTTCCATCTTCCCCAAATGTCCCTTTGTATTCAACTGTCCCCACTAGAATTTCGTATGAGTGGAACCAGTCAACACCGTTTTGTCTGGCTTCTTTCATCCCTGATGCTGTGTGTATCATTAAAAACTTCATTCCTTTTTCATGCCGCCTAAGTCCTTTATTGTATAACTGTAACGTGTTTTGTCTATCCGTTCATTGCTGATGGACAGTTTTATGGTTCCATGACCATTGCTGTACATGTTTGATAAAATAATATTTTGGTTTCACTCAGGTGAGTACCGAGGAGTGAAATTCCGGGTTGTAGGGAAGGCATCTGGCTCTTACAAGACATTGCCAGTCTTTCCTTCCCACTGAGAGTTTCTGAGCGCCCTCGTTGTTCCACATCTTCCCCAGTATTTAATGTTGTTATATGAGTCTAGCTACTTTGGTGGATATGTAATGATAGCTCATTGTGGCTTGAATTAATTTCTCTATGTCTACTCGATCACCTTTTCTCGTTGAATTCTGTCAAATCCTCCTCTGTTGAATTCTGTCAAATTTCTGTCCTTTTCAAAAACAGTATTTTAGTGTCTGGTGTTGTGATGCAGGAAGTTAAGCTTCCGCTTGGGATGCCAGCATCCCATGTCAAGTGCCAAGTGCTCTGCTTCAAGCCAGGTTGCCGCCAACGTGCCTGGAAAAGCAGTGGCTGCTGGCTCAAGTTCTTGGGCCCTGTCACCCATCTGGGAGACTTGGAAGGAATTCCTGGTGATCGGCTTTTTCCTGGCAGAGCTATGACCCTTGGGATCAACTGGGGAGTGAACCAGCAGATGAAGGCTTTCTCTTTCCCTCGGTCACTTTACGTCTGAAATAAAATAAATAAAACAAATTGCCTGTAGGAGCTGAGAGTGATTCTAGCCTCCAGCCTGCAAGAAAATGAGACTCCTGCAGACACAAGGAGGTAAGTTCTGCCAAGATCCCAAGAAATACTCGGTATATGTTGTTCCCCAGCTACACCTTCAAGTGAGACCCCTGCTTGGCCAAATCCCCATTTATTGTATTTTGAGTGAGACTCTTAAGAAGCAGATCCAACTAAACCGAGCTGGACACCTGATCCACAGAATTTTAGTTCATGGGTCTGTGTGGTGGTCTGTA